GTTAATCTGGGGAGTGCCTATACTACTGGCTATAGCTTGTAACGCTCCTTACTGATAAGCTAACAGTCTTTCAAGGTAGACCAGGCAGAATATTAGAATTCTATTTTACTAATACTCAGGCAATCCTCTTTTAACTATCCCTTGTACAGCAAACTTACACTGGCATTGAATGAGTAAGTACTTATGACTGGTCCTGTACATGTCAATTGCAGTGTCTCTGTGATCACATGGTGTCGCAATTACAACATTGCAGCATCCCTCAGTTATCGCCATTTGTGACCTTCTTTACTGGCTTCCTACAGGCAAAGTCAATGGGGAAACTGCCAGTTCACAAATAGCAACCACATGATGTCCTCTCTTAATGACCCATGGTGATTTGCCTAATAATGGCAACCGGAAATGCCAGAATGTTCATTGCTTAAGTGGTATAGTCATGTGACTTCAGGTTTTATGACTTCCAGTCCCAATTACCATTAGGTGAGGACTATCTGTAGACTAAAGAAATATAATCCAACAGTGTTTTCCCTTCCTTCTTAACCTGAATTTCTTTTCTTCCAAGTTTAAAACATGTTTTTGTACCGGTTGCTATATTGCTTATCCAAGGACATATCTGGGGCTCTCCCCATAAGCAAGGAAGTGTTTCAAAGCATGCAGAGATACAAGCACAGCAGTTTTTGTAGCTTCTTAAAGCAATCATGCCTTTCCTGGGAATTCATGACTGTCCTTTGCAAAAAATCTTGAGAAAAAATTGTTTGGTTTAAGGAGCTGCAAAGAGATGGCATATTTACGCCTATTTGGTAAAAGACAGCTTTTTTGCCTTTAAACTAAACTGTGGCATAGTTGCAGTATTTGCATTAAAAAACAGAAAGCAAACGAATAGCAAGTTTCCAGGCAGAATACTATCGGTGACCTAATTATTACTTTTATGCATATCCTGGGGCAAGAAGGCCTATCCCTTCAATGTAACAAAGCGAATAGGTTCAACCTTTATGAGTACAGAAAGAATCTTAGAACTTAAGCCACTGCTGGATAAAAGACTACTGTTTTTCCACAATGTCCATCTATCTGTTAGGACAGGGGTGTCAAATTCCCAACGTCACGTCATGTGTCATGACGTATTGCGACTTTTTTGCCATTGCCAGGAATGGGGTGGGCGCGGTTTTGCTATGATTCATCCGGCCCGTGGGCCGGCAGTTTGACACCCCTGTGTTAGGACAAAGTCTGATTTGATAAACTATAAACATTCTGTATTATAATGCAGTAATAGTATAAAAGGCATTGTATCAATATATATTTAAGCATTACCGCATAACAAACAATGACTATTTGTTTTTACTGTTGTTATTTGCAAACTTGAGTTTGCATGATTTTTTTTTACTCTGACTTTGTAAAACAGGAACCTAGAACAGCAATCCAATCCTTAATAAAGGACCAAAAAGAAACAGAATCATTGCAGAAAATTATTGGCTATCCATTGATAAGGGTAGCTTATAAGTAGCTGGGATATTATTTATGACTGTGCAATTCAAAAATGATTCTCTATTGCAGTGCTTCAGACCTTGCATGAGCAAAGGATTTCTTTGCTATTGATTAAAGTAGCTTTTTTCAGGTTTTCATTAGATTAATTCTTAAAGCAGACACAACTTTTTTCTCAGTTTTTTTTCACAAAAGTTTAAAAACAAAACAAGAGGCTACTTTAATGAAAAAGAGAGAAATCCTCTGCTGACACAAGGTCTAAGTTCTTCTAAAATATTTTAAAGCATTTATAGTCCAAACAACTTAAGTTTGAGATTTGGGGAAAAAAGTTTAATTTTAATATGGTAAATTTAGAAAAAAAGTGAATTGGACAGAAATGTAATTCTTTCCTAGGATGAGTTTTATTGCTATCATATGTCTATTTGATGTTACTTCCAAGCTGAGAAAGTTCATATAAATTAATATTCTCAACTTTGAACAAAAGCATTATTACATCCACATAAATTGTGGACATGTAATCTAAAGTACTTTTGCCAAACATCATTCTATTAAACATAAGGCTCTTAACATTATTCCCTGTAACCATGAATTTGTAAACCAGTTTGGGCTGGGAAGCAGGAACTGGTCTTGGTAATAATGAAAAATCACTTTTACATTTTTGCCAAAGAAACTACAGTACAGAAATATGTCTACAAACTCATTAGGAATGAAGATTAACTGAATGCAATAGTACTAAAAGCACTGTAGTACTTATGTTCTGTATCACAATTAGCATGGATTCATATGAACATTTCAGAAGTTTATTTTCAGAAATATGATTTTGTTTAGAGAAGATTAAATTCTAGATACCCTTAAATTTAGATAAACTGTACAGTATCAAAATGCTATTTTGAACTGGAATTGAAACTACTCTGAGGTGTCTGAAATGACATATTAAATTGCTGAGTGATAGCTTTCATATAAAGAACTATGAATAAAACCCTTTTTATGCAATGTTTTCTCTTTCCTTTTAAAGTATTTTTTATGAACAACAGGCTTCAGAATTCCCAGAATATCACATAGAACTTTATAATTACTACTTTTAAATAGTGTTAATAAAATATTATCTTCATCTAACGGTTCAAATATAAACTAAAGCATGTTGAAATAATCTCTTATTCCATCTGAACATCTGAATTCACTTTGCAGGATATGGCATGCAGCTGCATTTAGATTCAAAGCAAGAGCAACTGCAGTACATTGACCCATTGAATATTACAGTAGGTTTTGAGTTTCATGTTAGTTGGATTTATTGGAGAAAATTGATTTGAGTGCTTCTGCTCTTGCCAGAGTTTTTTAATGTTCGGAAGAAAGGAAATAAGACATGCATAGGATGTGACTTTGATGTGCAACAAGTTAATTATCTAAACCGTCTAACAAATCTTGGCTGGGGGAAGTAATTATTTTTAACGGTACAGGGTGGTCTGATGAAATGTTTTCCGCATCTCAATAAAACACTTCATATTCTTCGCAGTTTGGGAATGAAGCTTCCCACGCTCGGGCCACGTTATCTTGGCAAGTAATGAAAACTGACCAAAACGGAAGCAAAATTTTCCCTGCGTTGTTGTAGTACATTAACTCCCCTTGCTTTGGGGCAATAATGAAGTCGCTGGTCACGAAATACAAAATCGTGTAAAAAACGTCCAGGGAAAAGCCGAGGCGAATCTCCTTCTCAACCAAAAGCGCGCCTCCTGGCGTGGCCTCGTGGCCAGTTTGTCGGCCTGGTCCACGAATCAGAGGCGACGCGTCTTTCGCCGCGACTCGCGCAGGAAGCGCCGCCATGGCTCTTCCCGCCCGCTGAGACGCCGCTGCTGCCGAAAGGGCTGCTCAGGTACGGTTGGGGGAGCCTCTGCCCGCCCAGGGAGCCGCGTGCACGGAGGCGGGGATAGAACGGAGCCCCCCCCCTCCGGCCAGGACCCGGGGAAAGTCCCGAGGGGGCCCGCGCTTCCTTTTGAGCCAATCCGGGGAAGGAAGCTTCGTTGTGCCTGGATCCCTTTAGGTTGAGAAACGCCGGGATAGCGGCGTCTTTGGTTTATGAACGAAAGAGGTGGAATTATATGCCGAACAAGCATGCATGACAGCGAACATGCGGCTCTCTCCTGGGCTGGGAAAGGTCACGTGTAGGCTGCGGGTCTTGCCAATTTGCTAACTAGCTTGCTGGCTTGAACGGACGGGGGGGGGAGGGGGGAGAGTGTCCTGCTGCCTGCCGTCCTCCTTGCCTTCGCCGCGCCGCTGGCTCCGGTGGCCATGTGGGGCTTATGGGTGGCGGTGTCTTCTTGCTTACAGCCTCCAATTGTGGCAGCGGTGTCTTCTGTTTTTTAATTACTCTTTTTCTATTGTCGGCCCTCAAAATGGAGCTGAGAAACACCAGCATTTCCCCAAAACAAACCTAAAGACTGAAACGGAGGGCTTTCCTTCTCGAGACAGGAAGAAATCTTTTAAGATTTGCCTTCTTGCTGGAACAGGTGAAGCCCATCCTCTCCTGCAGGCTCCATCTGGATTGACTGAGAAAGCCAAGATCTCCAAGATAACTGAGCTGTGTTTTTTGTGGTTTTTTTAAACAAAGCATTGAGATAATTCTCCCCCCCATTCTAAAACGTGCAGTTTCCAACTCAGCTACCCCTCCATCGTATCCCTGCATATTTGGAAAAGTGCAGCTGCCTGTTCAAGTCCTATACTGAGTGAAGGTCTATGGAAGATAGTTTTCCCTTAATGCTGTTTCAGCCACAGTAGTATTGTACACTCTTTCGGTCACTAAGCTGAAGACTCCTGTATTGACAAAATGTGTGATAGTCTCACCACACCTAAAATATTGCATCCTATTCCTGGGATCACATTTTAGGAAGACAAGGGCAAACTAGAGCATAACCATGAAAAACAAGGTGATAAGAGGTCTGAAAAGAAAACCAAGGAATGCTTAGAGATGTTTGGTATGTTTAGTCTGGAGAGAAGATGAGTAGGGAGACATGATAGAGGTCTTCAAGTGTTGGATGAGCTTTTAAAAGTTGTTCCAGAAGATAGGATAAGAAAAAATATGTGTAAATTACAAGGAAGTTGATTTTAGTTGAATGTTAGGTTTAACCTTACTAATGGTAAGAATTCAGCAGTGACACAGACTATATCAAGAGATGCTGGACTATTCTTTTCTGGTGGCATTAGGTATACTGTAGTAGTAGATTTTCAAACTGAATATGGACTTGGATTAGGTGATTTTCAAAGTTCTTTTCAACCTTGCAATTTGTGATACTCTGATATTACATGAACAGCAGTGAATACTCAGAAGCACCTTTAAAGTGCTGGAGATGTTCAAGTTTTACCCTTAATTTGGAATAACTCTTTGAGAATGGTTTGTCTTACCCAATTTGAACATGGAAAGTGCAGAATGACTTGGAAAAGAGCATTTCTGAGGTGCAATTACTGGGAATTTGTGTTTGGAGCCTTATACCCGTGTAGAAATATCGATTGGCTTGAATGGCCCGTTAAGCCTCCAAAGTCCAAGGTGTTCATTTTAAAATGATTACCCATCCTCTGTGTTAAAAAAAAAATATCTACCCCAAAGGAAGAGTTTAAACTTGTTAGGGATGCACTGAAAATAATGGTGCCAAGTCACATATAAACTTTCTCCAGGCATTTAAAACTGAACAAAAATACTGTGGTGAGTGCTGACACCCATTAGCCTGGGAAGAGGAATATAGAATATAGAACCTTCCTTCCTTCCTTCCTTCCTTCCTTCCTTCCCTCCCTCCCTCCCTCCCTATCTATCTATCTATCTATCTATCTATCTATCTATCTATCTATCTATCTATCTATCTATCTATCTATCTATCCTCCAATACTTTTACGAAATTTTGGTGATTGATTGAGCCTGTCCTATCTAATGTACTCTTTGGTATATATCTTGCTTCCACAAGGTTTTACTTTTGGATTCAGACATTTGCAAGTTCTGTAAAGTTTTACAGACTAATTAGTAGGATTTTGTTTTACTTGTATTCAGTACTAAGTGTGTATTATTTGCTTTTATGAATTCTATCAAAAAGTGAAATTTGAAAAACGTGAGGCTGAAAAAAAGATTGCTATTGCTTTAAGGGATCCACTCAGTAGCAATACCTTTTCAGGATTAAAAAGAAGAGTGAAAAAAAATCTCATAAGGGACCAAGAAGAGCTGTGCTTGTTCTGAATCATTTTTGAAGATTTAAGAATCGTAATGTCTCCGTATTTGCCACCAGACAAACAATATTTAAAGCATTGTCTTTTAAACTCCACAAATGGTTCCCACTGAAAATCCCAATTCAGCTCTGACATCTCATATTGGGAGGACTCAGAAAATCGTTACTGATTAATATTCACTTCAGATATTTGGACTATAAACAGTTCAGGATTCAAAAATGCAAAAAAGGAAGATGTATTTTATAATGTATTTTTAAAGTTAAAAATACATGTACATATCTTTAACATTTGATTTAATATTTTACCTAATATTGATGTCAAAAAGAGATCAAAATTTAAGGCCAGTTGAATTATATCAGAGTTACAGTAATTACTGTAAAGTGATATAGCTGATATAATTCAACTTACATATTAAATGTTGACTCCTTTTAGGTTAGCCCTAGAAAAAATATTAGATGTTTATGCAGGTTCTTGGTCAAAATAAAGCCTGAATTGAAGTCACATTAATTATAATTAGTATGAATTATTTTTGCCTACCTGTTTGATAAAATAATGTGTCCTGAAAATTTTACACATGCTGAAGAAAGTATTGCAAATTTTTGGTTGAAGCATAGTTGGTTTAATACGTTCAAATACCCCTGATGGTTGTGGGGTTCACTTGCTATATTTCATGTGTTGTCCTTGTCTGCTGTTTACTCAGATGAGCAGTACTGGACCCAGCCCAATGTCAGCTGTTCCGTCTAGCAGTGGAAGAGGGACTGGGAGATCAACAAACTTTATTCTAGAATTGCAAAGTATGATGTGAGTATAATTCTGTTTCTATATCTTACAATATTTATGGCTAGGCAATAGTCCAGGGGTGTTAAAACTGCTGGCCCGTGGGCCGGTTTCATCATACCAAAGCTGCGCCCACCCCATTGCTGGCAATGCAAAAAGAGTCGCGATATGTCGCGACACATCACATGACGTGGCGAGTTTGACACCCGTGCAATAGTAAGGAAAGGAAAGGTTTGATTAATATATATTAATGATCAGATGTTGCAAAGGGTAAAATGTATTTCAAGACTGAATAAAGTAGTAAGGACGTCCCTTGACTTTGGATGATAAATAAGGCAATAAATGTTATGTATGTCTTATAATAGCTTTATAATTTTCTACTTTTTTATGCTTAACAATAAAATAATTGCATTTATACTAAAATTAGCATATGTAGATAATTTAGAATTTCGTATTCTTTCTCCTGACATTACGAATAATAAATATTAGGGATGATGATTTACAGTGAATTAATCAGTTCTCCTTTGTAATGAAACCACAAAATTGTTTTTGCTTTTCTTTTATTGTTTATTGGTCCATGATATGTAGGTTTCATAGAGCTATAGATTACATATTTCATTCCATATTTAAAGTGTGATTAGTTGTCTTCTACAATGGACCAAATTACAAATCTTGATTTAGAAGAAGGAATCCTATTAAGACTGAATAGATGTAAGGGAAGTGAGATTGTTATTTATGGATCATTTTTTCTTATTTATTGACCAATTTATTTTCATTTTAAGATAAAAGTGATATCTTTCTATTAGACCTCCAGAGGGAGTATTATTATAAATATGGTGCCTAATTCTTTAACGGCAAGGATTTGCTATACAAATTTCAATTGTACTATGCTTTATGTTGGTTTGATTTTTTTTTTAACAATGGGATGATCTATTTAGAAGAATTCTTATGACTACCCCTCAAAAGATAACTTCAGATAACTTTTAAGCTAGGACAAAAACATTCTTATAGATGAAAAACTTCACATCTTTATTTTTAGATGTAAAATGAGTAACTGAGATTGTTCTATATATTTCCCAGCCTCTCTAAGTTGGTATGTCTCCGATAGTTACTTTAGGTTTTTTTGTAAAGAAAAGCAGAACTAGAAGATGTAAGATAGTGATTTGGAATGATTTATGGTAATACTGGACTATGGAAAATAGTTTGGATTGATATGAAAAATTTTTTACTGCTTGGCATTTGCTATCCCGAGATATATATTCTTCTTTAAGGTTTAGTTTCTTCCCTAAATACCTGGTATAGTTGCAGCAAAAAAGTGACCAATTTCTCAACTTTGAGATCCTAATAACTATAGGTATTACTATTTATGGCAACGTTGAGAGAGTCTTATTAGAAATATATTCCACTTTAAGGTTCTGAAGGAACAATGATACATTTTATATTTATTTGCATGAATTAAAGATACAGTACAGATTGAGTACAGGTGTTTCATAATTGAGCCCAAATTTTCTGCTAAGCAAGACACTTCTTAAGTGAGTTTTGTCCCAGTTTAGCAACTTTTTTGCTACCATTAAGCAAATCACTGCAGTTGTTAACTGAATCATGCAGTTGTTAATCAAATCTGGCTTCTCCCATTTACTTTGTTGTCAGAAACTGGCTGGGAAGGTCAGAATGATGATCACATGACTCTGGGACAGTGCAACTGTCGTAAATACATGCCAGTTGCAAAGCACTTGAATTTTGATTATGTGACCGTGGGGAGCAGGAGACCAAAAAAAGGGGGGGGGAAAGAGCAAGAAGAGGGGAAGACCAAAGTACCTGAGGCAGAAGAAGGTGGAAAAAGGTGGAGAGACAACATCAAAGACATACTACAACAGCATCAAATAATGATTTGAGGCTGCCAGAAGTAAGCAACCAGAACTTCGTATCTCCCTTGAAACCCGAAGTGATAAAAGAGGAAGTAAAGAAGAAGAAGAAAACTGATCATAAGTCTCTTTTTTTCAATGCTATTGTAACTTTGAGTGATCACTAAACGAATGGTTGTAAATCAAGGACTATGTGTACTTGTGCTGCAACAGCTTGCTTGTGGGATTGTTCTCAAAAGGAAGCTATATCTTCCTATAGAATATGGTCTCCCTAAATCAGGGGTGTCAAACTCAATTTCATTGAGGGCTGCATCAGTATTGCAGTTGCCCTCGGGGGGGCCGGGTAGGTGTGGCCAGGGTGGGTGCAGCCTACTGGGTGGGCGTGGATGGAGTGGGTGTGGTCTACTGGGTGGGCATGGCCAGCTCTACATTGTTCGCATCAAGGGTGCCTGTGGGGGCCTGGGCAGGAGTGGGACAGATCTGAGGGTCTCTGGCAGAAGGGGATGGAACTGGGGCAGGCGCCAAGGCATGGTCCATTTCTTCATTCCTCACAAAGGGTGACACCTCCCCAGCATGCACCCAGGGGGCGGGGCCGACACAGCAGGGGCTAGTTCCTCGGTGTTTCTAGACGGCCTTGTGGAGGTAAGACTGAATGCGTTTCAGCATAGATGGCCACCACAAAATTGTACATTGGTTCCCGGCTGGCCAGGGCCAAGGCAATGGGGCCCGTTCCCTCACTGTTTCCAGGATGGCTTCGCGGGCCACATGAAACCACTTTGCGGGCCACATCCAGCCCCTGGGCCTTGTGTTTGACATGTCTGCCCTAAGTGAACACTTGCTTTTTCACAAGGAGTTACCAATAGATGCTGTGGGCTATCTCGATTCCAAGGTACTTTTATGCCTTGTAATCTGAAAACCTGCAGCACTCCAATACATGTCTGCAGTCATGTGAAGAAAAACAATTGGAATTCACAAAGTACCACTTGATGTTCTTTGCTGGAATGTAGAACAGTTAAAAATCGACCATCTGGATTTACCCTTAAAATATCTGTGAATTGAGTCCCCAATCTACATTTTCTTTCTGTTCTTTTGTTCCTCTGATCCAGCAGCAAATTTATATTTTGTTCTTAATAATATTTTTTGGTATTTGGACTGGGGGGAAATAGAACAGAACATTTCTTGGATTTGGAAATCAAAGGGCATGAATGTGGAAATTATGGACAAGCATCTGACAAGCATCATTTTATATAATTGCAAGACTTCCTGATTAAGCACTTTTGAAAGTATATACCCAATTCCTGTTAATACATGAGTTCAGCAGAAATAGAAAACGTAGACATCTTTGTATTCATTTAAGACCAAGGACAGTTTTGATTTTAAAAGTTATCCAAACAAATAAACTGATTCTGAAATATTTTTGATCAAATGTTTAGATAACTACATTGGAACTGATGGAATACTTTTAAGTACATTTATTTCTTCTACTTTGTTTCTTAAAAGAAGTCCTTTTAGCAGAAATAAAATTTCATGATAGGAATAGACTATGAGCAAAGTTAAAATTGTTTTCCTTGGCTTCTGATTTATAGCATTGACTCCTATTTTTTCTAGGACTGTTCAGGGCTTAAATAACAAAATGTAATATATATCCCTATCTTAAAGCACATTTATTTGTACAAAAGGATATTATTCAATGAAATCAGTCTTTAAAGATTTTAAGAAATGATTTTGTCATAAAAGATAATAATTGTGTTTGCCACAGAGACTTGCTGTTAGTCCATTTTAGGTACAGTGCTTGATAATTATGCTACTTAAAAGTTAGTCAGCTAGATTCAGCAGGATTGACTAATGACTTTAAAATAATTAAATATTTTAGAAACTTATCTCCATGGCTGCAGTATTTTGTTAAAACTACATCAGAAATGATAAATCAAGATTGATAGCTGTTCTTAATGATCTCAGAAGCAGCTTTGGAAAAGATCTAATGGGGACTGAAAAAATAGAGATTTCCCGATGATTCTCTATATAGCTGATATTTGCTCTACGGTCTAAAATATAAATTGAGCAATGGAAACATGCAGAAAAATTCCAATTTTCCTACTGTTATGCTTATGTTAACGTATAATTTATGTCAAGATGTGAATATATGCACTGCATATATTTCCTTCATCTCCTGTAAAGAATGAAGCTACAATACAAATTAATAAAATAAACATAACTAAAATTAGCAGACTGGAAATTGGAAATGTAATGATTTTGACTCTAGAGAGCCTCATTTCAATTATTTAATCTTTCCATTAAATAAATGAGAAATATATTGAAACTCAATATTATATTGGACTATGTACAGTATAGAACTGATATATAGAGAAGTGTTATTTAATACATGCACTTCTTATATATGTGGTACTAGCTCTTCAATTAAAAGACTTAAGAAAGGCTTTTAAACAGGAAAATGTCTATATACTGTATATGTTGACATTTTTGCATTTGGGGAATGAAAATTGCCTTTGAGTACATTGCCGTTAAAAGGTACTTCAGATGAAAGCAGTGTCTAATGAGACAAAGAAAAGCAGGACAGGGAAGCCTCTAAGTTACTAGTGTTTAACTGTATTGCACACTGTTAGCTGTATTAATAAACTGCATTTTGTCAGTATTCTAAAATATACTGTCTATCACTAGCAATTAGAAATCAGTAATATTTTGAAAATGTATTCTTCATTCAAGATAATTATTTTTTAAAGCACTTATATTGTATACTTTGAGATCTGTATGCTAAGAAATAACATGTAACATTAAGTAAAAGACCTTTCAAAACATAGGACTTTAGTTTTATAATCTCTGTTGGGGAATGAAACCAAAAGAGGTAATAATATCCAGAAAGAAATATTAACAACTACCATAAAAGTGTTAAATGCAAAATAATGTTCAGACATGAGCCCAACATTATGCTTACACATTCAAAATGTCACAGTAGCTGAAAGAAAAATGGAAGCTTATATTAAGTGAGAACAATGCAAGCTTACAGCAGATAGTACATGTGTCTGTAATAAACACTTGTATAATTTTAAATATTTGCTTATAATCTTTTTCTTTTGCATACTGTGATTTTTTGTATTTTTAGTTCTGCTTTGGTATGGTTTATTGTTTTAATGAAAAGAC